CAGTAGCAGTTCAGTACAACGACACTAAGATACCTGAACCGAAAACCATCCGACAAGCTCTTACGAGCCCTCACTGAGAAAAATGGCGCGAAGCCATGGACAACGAGCTAGCAGCTCTTAAGAATCGTGGCACATGGGATTTAATACCGACTTCAGAAGTAAAAGGGAAGAAGGTATTAAAGTAAGAACTGAATGATCAACTAGAGGTAGAAACCTAGAACAAATACTAGTTGGTTGTACTCACTAGAAGCATACCTCAGTCTAGCCTATAACTTGTACAAAGCTAACATGTATAAGTTGACACACCCCCTAGGCTAGACAAGGGGTGAAGCTAAGCAAGAAGCAAACAGCTCAGGGTGGCACTACTAGTCCAACCACTGAGGCAGGGGTCTGGAGACCAGTCAGCTACGGTACAAACAAGACAAAAGCAAGCCAGGGCGGCACTACTAGTCCAGCCACTGGAGGTAAGGCCACAAGGCCAGTCTGACAGGCATATATAGTAGAGATTACACAATCAGGATCCTTACAGGTGAGTAGCTACAGGAACAAGACCAAGCTGTACACAGTGCCGCTGATGATCTTTAGGCGCAAGCACCTCAGTAAAGATATCAGCTGTGTTGGCACCTGAGGCCAAGTGAACTACGCGGGCCTGGCGTCGCTGCTGTAGCTCGCGCAGGAGGAAGTACCGCCGCTGGCTATGCTTCGCTCTGCCCTCAAGCCGAAGCTCCTGACACAGTAGTATCATGGCCCTGTTGTCAGCGTACAGGACCGGGGCAGAGTTAGGCTGCTCACCTAAGTCTGTGAGCAAGAAGGTCAGCCAGCGGAGCTCCTGTGCCGCCATGGCACCAGCGTAGATCTCAGCCTCACAGCTGGACTGAGCCACAGACGACGAGCGACTGGATCTCCAAGAGATAACACCCGAACCAAGGCTAAAGCAGTAGCCCTGCGACGACCTGAGCGTCTCAGAGTCGTCTGCCCAAGAAGCGTCTGTGTGCCCAGTAAGGACCACTGGCCTGCGTCCTCCTAGCACTAACCCCATGCCCGATGTACTAGCAAGATAACGCAAAACCCTCTTAGCGGTAGACCAGTGCTGAGGTCGGTGTCTGCCTGTAGCCACAAAGCGAGCCAGGATGCTGAGAGGGTATGCGAGATCTGGGTGAGTGCAAGTCATCAAATACATGAGGCAACCCACCAGCTCTGCGTAGGGGCCACTGGGCTCTACGAGCTCCTCAAGAATGGGAGCGGAGAGCCCATGGTCTATAGGTAGAGGTGTGGGCTGTGCGGAGGAGAACTGAAGACCAAACCTCTGAAGGACCTGACGCACCAAGTGTGACTGAGTCAGAGTGATGGTGCGTGGTGCTCTGTCCCTAGAGATCTTCAGGCCAAGATAGCGACGCAGCTCTCCAAGGTCAGTGCAGGTGTGTCTCTTCAGAAGCTCGGCCTTCACAGAGGCCAGTGCGTCCCTATCAGCAGTAGCGAAGACCAGATCGTCTACATAGACAAGGATGTAGAACGGAGTCTGGCCTAAATGCACAAACAGCGAGGGGTCAGCAGAGGACGGAAAGAACTGCAGGTCTGCTAACGTGGCCCGCAGCGTGTCGTGCCACTCGCGAGGAGCCTGACGCAGGCCGTAGACCGGGCGCCTGAGAAGCCACTGGGTTCGAGGGGGGAAGGTATCAGTGAAACCCTGTGGTCGGCGCAGGTAGACCTGCTCGTGTAGGCTGCCCTGAAGAAAGGCAGTAGAGAAGTCGAGGGAGTGAAGCTCGTAGTCGCGCTGTGCTGCTACATGTAGCAGCGCCCGAAGAGTGGTCATCTTCGGGGTCGGGGCGAAGGTCTGGAAGAAGTCAACCCCCTCGCGCTGACTGAAACCTCTGGCCACGTAGCGTGCCTTGAAGACAAACGGCTCTCCAAGGGGGCGCTTCACCTTGAAGAGCCACCGACCATCGACTACATTCACCCCAGGCGGGGGAACTGCGTCGACGTAAGTGCCGGTGGACCTCCAAGATGCCATCTCCTGCTCCATGGCAGCTATCCACTGAGAGGCCCAAGGTCCCGAGGTGGCCTCAGCGTAGGTGCGAGGGGTCGGGATGTCGAAGGCGTCTGGGTCACCCTCAGGGACTAAAAGCATGGAGCAGAGATGGGGAGCAGCCTCAGAAAGGAAAGCAAGCTCGTACTGCCTGTCCTCTAGGACGTCACTGCCAAGGGCAGGAGCACCCCGACGGACAGAGGACGGGCAGGGTCAGAGACCAGAGCGGTAGCGTAGTCAAGGCGGCGGGTAGAGGCAAAGTCAGCGACAGCAGCGACAAGCGCGTCAAGGCGCGAGACAGGAACAGCAGGGTCGGTAACAAGAGATGCAAGGACCCGAGGGACAAGGGGACGAGCGGCACGGAGGTAGTCAGAGAACGGAGGAGGGGCAACAGCAAGGGACGAGGGAGGAGGGGACGCGAGGAGGGGAGGACGAGACGAGCGGGAACGGAGCAACATAGGGTGGGTGGGCAGGACAGGAGAGACGGGACGAGCACGGGAGGGACGGCGAGACCAAACGTGAGACGGAGGTGTAGGGTCAGGGGACAGTGGAGGGGACACTCCTGTGGGTCGTAATCTACGTCTTCGACAAATCGACGTGCCGAATGCGTTTCTCTATGCGCCCGTCGACGCACTCATCCTGGTACAGTACCCGCATTCCTATACTACTAACCCACCGAGCGTATGTCGTCTCCGAAAATCACTGTACGGCATTAAACAGGCACCACGGCTCTTGCAGCATTATCTCCACTCACAGCTGATCACTGCCGGATTTTGACAGCTACCGCATGACCAGGGAATGTATCTTCTGACCGACGGCAGCAACTATATTTTACTCGTCGCCTACTTCGATGATATCCTCTACGTCAGCACTACTGATTCGCTCGCCGATATCTTTATACTGAAACTACATAAAACTCTACAACTTACAGTCTCCGAAACAGTCTCACAGTTCCTTGGTCTAAACATTACCTGTTCACCGACAACGATCACCTCACTGCTTCTAAGTACGCAGCGACGCTCGCTGCCCGTTTCAATCTCACTCCTACTACAGTTTCTACACCATACCGCTCACTACCGACTGATCACAAACCGAACACTGCACCATTAAACTCAACTGGTTTACAGACCTATCAACAGCAGTTAGGCTGTTTACTCATCGCCGCTATTACTTGTCGTCCAGATTTGGCCTACGTAGCTAGTCAGCTCGCTCAGTTCCTACGCCGTCCTGAAGAGGAGCACCACCTTGATCTTCTCCGCGTGCTTCAATATTTCGTCTCAACTCCTCACGTCGGTTTAGTCTACAATGTCATCGGTTGCAAAACACTATATCTATACGGTTTCGTCGACGCCGATCACGCTGCTGACTCTACTAATCGACGGTCGCGCACTAGATTCATCTACCGGCTTGAACCTATCGGACTTATTTCTTGGAATTCAACGAAGCAGGAGCTGATTGCTCTCTCCTTTGCTGAAGCTGAGTTTATTGCTGTCTGCACAGCAACACGCGAAGGACTCTACCTGCAGGAACTATTGGAAGAAGCGAAGTTGACGACGACTACCCAGTTTACCCTACAGTGCGACAATCAAAGTGCTATCCGCATCGCGCATCAGCCTGGCTTCGTCAACAGGACGAAACATATTTCTCTGCGTTACTTTTTCGTCAAGGATGAAGTCGAGAAGGGGAGGATGCGATTGGTCTACTGTTCGACCAACGAAATGGCTGCCGATTTCCTCACGAAGAAGCTGACACGACGGAAGTTTCAATACTGTAACAAGCTTTGCGGGATCTTCAAGAAGTGACACTATCGAACTTCCAGAAATGAAGGGGAGTGTTGTGATATAATTGGTACTTAGCATTTCTGTAAGTCGATTAAGTGTAGTTAGTGTCGAATCTTACTGTAGAAGATAAGTCCGTAGGATGACGTCAGCAAATAGCGCTCGTCATAGGACAGTCGTTTCAGTCACGCGAACAGTCGCATCTCTTCATTATCATCTAGGGCGCATAGCTCGATAGTGACGAACAGGTACATTAGCGAATAGGTACTTTTCCTAGAACTATAAATCCTTGTTAGGTCTTTTCATTATTAACTTTGATTACTCACAAGTTCACGTACTCAGGTTATTCAACCTCTGACTGTTACCTTTTACAAGACTTCCGCTGTCTTACTAGTCTACCATTCCAGTAAAAATCCTAGGCTAACACTTGAGGAGTTCCAAGTGTTCGTGTTTGCAGTTTTATACTTAGTCTTCTACAACATTGGACAAGTTATTTCACTATCAAGCGTCCTAGGCCATATATTTGAGCACCGAAGCCCTCCCTTGTGGCCTTCCCCGAATAAGGAATGCGCCCTCGGACCGCTCTCATTGAGCCACCTCAATTTCGCCCAGTCGCCCGAATCTGGGTCCCCTGGTGGCTCCCCACCCCAAACATCTGTTATAATCACAATAGGCTTAGATGTGCCTATCATGAGAGATAGAGAGCACAGTCGGATTTCCGTCAGACGGCTTCAAATATTGATAACGATCTGGTCGCTGAATCAAACTTGGATATGTAAGTTGGATCTGGAGTGCGTGGCTGTCGTCTATTAGCAGCAAGTTGAAACATGAAATTCCATGAAGATTTGACGATGCTATGGCGGTTTGACTGGCAAGAGGTATAGCAGCCACTATAGTCTTGGAAGTACAAACTTAGCAAGAAGAGTTCGAGAGGGAGATGGTTCCCAGCCTCTACATACCCCAAGAGCCGAGGTCCAGGTTGGTGGTACACCACCACAGAGTCCCCAACCATGAAGAGTCTCGAAACCAACCCTCCAAGGGGCTACACCAAGTGAAATGTAACACTACACGAAGTAACGTTACTATTTTCACTATTTAATATTTATCAACGTCCCTTGGGCTTGAAATCTTGAGCTCTTGTTCTTGGATCTGCAAGATAAATTCTTCTTGAGTTGATGGGGGCTTGCTGCACACACCTGCGACACGATGGACACTTCACACTCGACAAAATAGAAAAAAACACATGCGACACACAAACGACGACTTGACATGCGAGTTGTAAAAACTCGCTAATGTCTTGACCGACACAAACCACATTGTGATACACCATTCAAACACACACACAAGTACTGTATAGCAATGACATAGACTCACAATTCATTCCATGCCATGCATGCACACACACAAACAAGGACGACAAGCCGAGTGCAAGCCATAGGGTTGCACCAACAACATCGCCCTGCTCCATCAAACGGAACTGAACGTTCGGAGGCGAAACCTCCGTGTTCTGTGCTCCAGGCATTGCGCTGAGCTCCCAGCAAGCAACCAAACGCATTCCAGGAAGGCACGCCCCCGAAACCTGAAACCACTCGAACCGAGCCTCACACATGCGTTTTCACTTCGAACCCAGCACAAACGTTCTGGGTAATTGCTGGACCGTACTGAAACAAATGTCATACACACTTTGGGACGCGGATAAAGCCCCCACGTGTCAGAGCAGAGCAGAGGAAATTTGCGAGTACAGCGCGACCCATTCTCTACCTCAACTCAACATTAATGCTTAACATTGAGTCAAATTTTTGCTTCAACCTCCTCACTATGTGCTTGGCTTGAGCATTCCATCGAATTCCACACCCATAAGTGTTGAATATTTTGTCATCAGTATGTGACAGGCCCTATGCCCTCCATCGGGGCGATGGCAGTACATCCTGCCCTCCATCGGGGCGATGGCAGTACATCGGAGTCGGACCAGCAGTAGCAGCTCCCCAGCAGCAGCAGTCCCCCCCAGCGCGCCACAAGTCGGTTGCAGCACCTCCTGCCCTATCCTCTCCTCTCACCGCTGCCGCACAGGCTGCCGCCTTCCCTTGCACCACGGGCACGGCGAGGAGCACGAATGGCAGCTCGCACAGGAGCGTTGCCCCTGCCTGGTGTGATGGGAGCAGGTGCTGGTGCGAGGTGCTGTCGCAAATGTTGGTGCGAGGGTTTGTAATGGGGCGGGCAGGGAGTGGGAATAGGGGGGGAGGAGAGCACAGAGGCGCGAGGCTCTTGGGCATGAGGCAACGAAGGGCACGCGGCAACGAAGGGCACATGCATGGAAGTAAAGAGGAGCAGGGGAGGATACGCGGGACAAAGGAACAAGGGGGCACCTGCCGGTGGGAGGAGAGGGACAAGGGAGGACATGCGGGTGGGAGGAGAGGGACAAGGGAGGAAATGCGGGTGGGAGGAGAGGAAGGGAGGACATGCGGGTGGACATGCAGTGCCTTTCTCGGTAGGAGCCTCAAGACTTGCCCGGGCCTGGCGGCGGAGCGGCGCTTCAAGCAGCCCATGTGCCCGCCTCTCCCCATGTGCCCGCCTCTCCCCATGCGCCCGCCTCTCCCCATGCGCCCGCCTCTCTCCCTGCTGGCACCCACCACGCCCCGTAAACCCAATCGTTCCGCCTTCACCTCACCAAGCGCGGAGGGTGGGGCAGGGGGGGCGGGGGGCATCAACTGGTTCTGTGCCCCCCTCAGCGCCCCCCTCAGCGCCCCCCTCAACACCCCCCTTAACACCCCCCTCAACACCCCCCTCAACACCCCCCTCAACAACTCCCTCAACACCCCCCTCAACGGCCCCCTCTCCACCGCGCCTCCAGCCATCTCCACCCACGCCGCCCTCCCTTCCTCATGCTCCACCTTCCTCATGCTCCACACCCCACAGCCAGGCAACACGGGCAACACGGGCAACACGGTCAACACAGGCAACACGGTCAACACGGGCAACACAGTCACTGCACCAATGCGCCACGCCTCCTCCCATCTTCCTCTCTTCGCGCGCCTCACCCTTCCCCTGCCCAGCATGCGCGCCGCGTCTGCCGCCTCTCCAGCCCTCGCGAGCTGCGCCCTGCTCTGCTCTGCTCCGCCCCATCGCCCTCCGCCTCTCCGCCCCGACCAGCATGTGCTTCACCACGCTCTGTGTGCCGTCGCTGCCATTCGCCGCGGTCAATGCGCCATCTGCCCGTCCTCATCCCCATCTGCCCGTCCTCATCCCCATCTGCCCGTCCTCATCCCCATCTGCCCGTCCTCATCCCCATCCGCCCGTCCTCATCCCCATCCGCCCGTCCTCATCCCCATGCACATGCCTTTCCGCCACGCCTCCATGTATCTCTCGCCACATGGCCCTCCCCTTCTCTGCCTCCGCCAATACCCTCATCAGCAGGCACTGTGCGCTGTCGCTATCCACCATGGCCTTGGCGCTCATGCGCCATCTGTGCCGTGCCCGGCGCTACCCCCATTCACCCGCCTCTCAGCACTGCCTGCACACATCCCCCACCCTCCTCGCCCTGACCCTCCTCGCCCTGACCCTCCTCGCCCTGACCCTCCTCGCCCTGACCCTCCTCGCCCTGACCTTCCTCGCCCTGACCCTCCTCGCCCTGACCCTCCTCGCCTTGACCCTCCTCGCTCTGACCCTCCTCGCTCTGACCCTCTGCACCTCAACCACCTCGCCCTGACCCTCTGCACCTCAACCACCACACTCCTCAGCACGCTCTGTGCGCCGCCTGTCCAACTTCTTCAATGCGCTCATGCGCCATCTGTGGCCTGCCCCTCCTGTACCCCATCCATATGCCTCACCTTATCCCCATCCACATGCCCCCCCTGTACCCCATCCACATGCCCCTCTTTACACCCACCCACATGCCCCTCCTTATCCCCATGCGCCAGCCTCTCCCCCATGCCTCCATGCACCGCGCGCCACATGGCCCTGCCCCTCTCTGCCTCCGCCAGGACGCTCTTGAGCACGCTGTGCGCGCCGTCGCTGTCCAGAATGGCCACGGCGCTCATGCGACAGCGCGGGCGATTGAGTGCCTGATGGAAGAGTGGGGGGGAGGGGGTTGGGGACGGTGGGGGGAGGGAGAGGACAGGGGGGATGCGGGAGGAGGGGGAGGACAGGGGGGAGGGGGAGGACGGGGAGGACAGGGGGGAGGGGAGGAGGGGGTGAGGAGAGGGTGAGGATGGTGCAAGGTGTGGCCCCACAGCTGTCCAAGATGGCCACAGCGCTCATGCGACAACGAGGGCAATTCACGGACAGGGTGATGACAGGGAGATGACAGGGAGATGACAGGGTGATGACAGCGTGATGACAGGGTGATGACAGGGTGATGACAGGGTGATGACAGGGTGATGACAGGGTGATGACAGGGTGATGACAGGGTGATGACAGGGTGATGACAGCGAGATGACAGGGTGAGCAAAGGAGACATGTGAGAAAGGGAGAGCAAGGGAGACATGTGAGAAAGGGAGAGCAAGGGAGACATGCGAGAAAGGGAGAGCAAGGGAGACATGCGAGAAAGGGAGAGCAAGGGAGACATGCGAGAAAGGGAGAGCAAGGGAGACATGCGAGAAAGGGAGAGCAAGGGAGACATGCGAGAAAGGGAGAGCAAGGGAGACATGCGAGAAAGGGAGAGCAAGGGAGACATGCGAGAAAGGGAGAGCAAGGGAGACATGCGAGAAAGGGAGAGCAAGGGAGACATGCGAGAAAGGGAGAGCAAGGGAGACATGAGAGAAAGGGAGAGTCACGGAGACATGCGAGAAAGGGAGAGCAAGGGAGACATGCGAGAAAGGGAGAGCAAGGGAGACATGCGAGAAAGGGAGAGCAAGGGAGACAAGCGAGAAAGGGAGAGTCAGGGAGACATGCGAGAAAGGGAGAGCAAGGGAGACATGCGAGAAAGGGAGAGCAAGGGAGACATGCGAGAAAGGGAGAGCAAGGAAGACATGCGAGAAAGGGAGAGCAAGGGAGACATGAGAGAAAGGGAGAGTCAGGGAGACATGCGAGAAAGGGAGAGCAAGGGAGACATGCGAGAAAGGGAGAGCAAGGGAGACATGCGAGAAAGGGAGAGCAAGGGAGACAAGCGAGAAAGGGAGAGTCAGGGAGACATGCGAGAAAGGGAGAGCAAGGGAGACATGCGAGAAAGGGAGAGCAAGGGAGACATGCGAGAAAGGGAGAGCAAGGGAGACATGCGAGAAAGGGAGAGCAAGGGAGACATGCGAGAAAGGGAGAGCAAGGGAGACATGCGAGAAAGGGAGAGTCAGGGAGACATGTGAGAAAGGGAGAGCAAGGGAGACATGCGAGAAAGGGAGAGCAAGGGAGACATGCGAGAAAGGGAGAGCAAGGGAGACAAGCGAGAAAGGGAGAGTCAGGGAGACATGCGAGAAAGGGAGAGCAAGGGAGACATGCGAGAAAGGGAGAGCAAGGGAGACATGCGAGAGCAAGGGAGACAAACATGCAAGAAAGGGAGAGCAAGGGAGACATGCGAGAAAGGGAGAGCAGGGGAGACATGCGAGAAAGGGAGAGCAAGGGAGACATGCGAGAAAGGGAGAGAAAGGGAGAGTTGAAGGTGGGAAGGAGCAGCGAGAGAAGTGACAAGCATTGACCCCATGGTGGCAAACAGAACAGCTGAGGCAACACCACCTGCAACCTTCAATACGTGCACTCTGTGTTTGCTCCATGCTGGACACACAGGCTACATGACACACTGGGTTATACAGCAACCACTGGTTGATACAGCAAACACTGGGTGATACAGCAACCACTGGTTGATACAGCAAACACTGGGTGATACAGCAACCACTGGGTGATACAGCAGCCACTGGGTGATACAGCAACCACGGAATAATGCATGGTCGAACCTCGTTTTGCCACAACTATCCTCTTATGCCTGCAATCCCCTCCCCACCACTGCCAGCCGTCTCGTAGCGATTGCAGGCATCAGCGAAACGAAGGAGCAGCACAAAAGCAGCCCTTTGCACCCCTACACCACCACACGTTACACAACCCAACTCCCCGCTCTCCCCTTTCCCCCTCTTCATCGCCCTCTAACACTCCCCCCCCCCCCTCCCCCCTCTCCCCCGCCCTTCCCCTCACATGGCCTCACCTTGGCGAGGCGGCGCGTGGAGAGCGCCATCACCACGGGAATGCTGCGCGCCGCCGCCTCCGCCACGATCGACGCCAGGGCGGCGTCCAGCCCGCCTGAGAGGAGGATAGCCGGGGGCCACAGCAGCAGGGGCAGAGGGGCAGAGGGGCAGAGGGGGGAAGGAAGGCCAGGGGGGAGGAGAGGATTGGGCGTGCTGCGAGTGGCAGCATGGGCTGGATGGACGCGAGGGCTGGGAGGGGCAGGGGGGGAGTGGAGGGCTCGCATGGGAGGGAGGCGGATGCAGAGAGGTCAGTGGAGGGAGGAGAACCCCCATCCGCGCCCATGTGCCCCCCACCATCCGCGCCCATGTGCCCAGCAGCACCATCCGCGCCCATGTGCCCACCAGCGGAACCCTAAGTGGGAAAATTCGCCGGGGTCCCCAGCGTTTTGCGAATTTACCTGAAATACGCGAATTCGCTGGGGAAATTTGCGGGCTAGCCCGGACAAACAAATGCGGAAAAAAAATCGCGAATCGCGACAGCACGGCGAAGCAATGGTGGCCTCGCCAATTTGCGATTCCACCTTTTGACCCCCCAAACAAGCCCCCTCCCAAGCTCCCAAACGCGTCCAGCCCCCCCACCCCACCCACATATAGGAAACCCAACCAAACCAGACCGCAACTCACGCTACTCAAGCAGCAGAATCCCAACCCCTCCAAAGCTGCCCACCGCATCAAAATCCCCCGCATCTAGAAAACCCAATCAATCCACCACGCAGCTCACGCTCCTCAGCAGAATGCATTGAGCTCCGCCGCGTCCTCGCTAGTCGATCGATTCTAAGCATAGGATCCAGCTTACCTCACGAGAATCCCAGCTGCAATTTTGATCCCCCACGCCCCCCCACTACCTGGAAAACCGTTTTTTTTCCTGCCCGGTCAAATTATTTTCTGCCCGGGCCAAACGAGTTTCGGGAGTGAATTTAAAATCGGGCCCAGGCGTATGGGCGAATTTATGCCAAACGCTGCACCCATCTGGCCACCAGCGCCACCCCTTCTCTGCTAGGAGGCACGGCGCCCTTGGCTCTGCCAAACCCAGCCACGCTCCTCATCCCCCTCCTCCCATACCCCCTCTCACCACACCCTCCCTCTCCTCTCCTCCCACACCCCCTTTCTCACCCCCCCCCCACCTCCTCTATGTTGGGTGGCACCACCACACAGTCAGCCATGCCACCAGCACTGCCCACCCTCATCCCCCTCATCCCCCTCATCCCCCTCATCCCCCTCATCCCCCTCATCCCCCTCATCCCTGTCCGCAGCGCCCCCTCCCCTCCTCTCCCTCACCTTCCCCCAGCCCCGTCTCACCTTCCCCCAGCCCCGTCTCACCTTCCCCCAGCACCTCCTCCACATTGGGCGCCAGCACGACACACTTGGCCCGGCCTGTCCGCACAGCCTTGCCCACCTCCCTCAGCCCGCACAGCAGGCGCCGCCGCATGGCAGCCTGCCACGGTTGTGTGGGGCGTGTGCATGGGGGGGCGGAGGGGGCAGGTGGGAAGGTGCCATGAGCATGCCACGCACGTGGCTCGGCCTGGGCCATAGCTTCCCCACCCCACCCGTGAGACAAACCACCCCACCAGCGCGCTCGCCAAGCTCGCCTCTCACCTTGCCGCGCTCGCCAAGCTCGCCTCTCACCTTGCCACGCTCGCCAAGCTCGCCTCTCACCTTGCCACACTCGCCAAGCTCGCCTCTCACCTTGCCACGCTCGCCATGCTCGCCTCTCACCTTGCCACACTCTCACCTTGCCACGCTCTCACCTCGCCAGGCTCTGCTAGGCCCTGAAGTGGAATAACCCCAGATAATGAATGGAAGCCAAACCCATTCACCTTGCCGGACTCACTCAACTTGACGGGATCTCATCTTGAGGGGATCTCATCTTGACGGGATCTCACCTTGTTGGGATCTCACCTTGACGGGATCTCACCTTGACGGAATCTCACCTTGACGGGATCTCACCTTGACGGATCTCACCTTGACGGGATCTCACCTTGACGGGATCTCACCTTGACGGCATCTCACCTTGACGGGATCTCACCTTGTTGGGATCTCAACTTGACGGGATCTCACCTTGACGGAATCTCACCTTGACGGGATCTCACCTTGACGGGATCTCACCTTGACGGGATCTCACCTTGACGGGACCTCACCTTGACAGGATCTCACCTTGACGGGATCTCACCTTGACGGGATCTCACCTTGACGGGATCTCATCTTGACAGGATCTCATCTTGACGGGATCTCACCTTGACGGTATCTCGCCTTGACGGGATCTCAGCTTGACGGGATCTCAGCTTGACGGGATCTCACGTGGAATACAAAGCGGGTGGTGAAGCGACGCCAGAGCGCACCTTGAGCGGATCTCGCTGGAGCGCCCTGTGTTGGAAGCGCAGCAGAGCGGCCAGCAGCTCCAGCACCAGTGCGTTCACCTCGGGGGTGACCACCTGCTGGGAGTACCTGGTGGGGAGGGCGAGTGTGTGAGGCGCACGAGCACTGGGGTGCGGCGTGGCTACAGGGGTGTGGCATGTCGAATGATTGCAAGTGCGCTGTGGCGGCGGCTTGCAATTCTTGGACTGTCTAATACTAGCACAAGAGGGGGCTGCGACTACCTGGTGGGTGAGAGGGGGTGACGAAGAGGTGAGTGAGAGGGGGTGATGAGGAGGTGAGTGAGAGGGGGTGATGAGGAGGTGAGTGAGAGGGGGTCATGAGGAGGTGAGTGAGAGGGGGTCATGAGGAGGTGAGTGAGAGGGGGTGATGAGGAGGTGAGTGAGAGGGGGTGATGAGGAGGTGAGAGCCGAGGAGAGGGCGTGGGCGAGGTGTCTGACCGCATGAGGCTGCATGAGGCTGCATGAGGCTGCATGGGGGTGAAGGATGGTGGACGAGGGTGCATGGTGCATACATGAGGGTGGATGCATGATGGTGCATGATGGTGCATGATGGTGCATGATGGTGCATGATGGTGCATGATGGTGCATGATGGTGCATGATGGTGCATGATGGGACGTGATGGTGCATGATGGTGAATGATGGTGCATGATGGTGCATGACGGTGCATGATGGTGCATGAGGGTCCATGACGGTGCATGACGGTGCATGATGGTGCATGATGGTGCATGATGGTGCATGATGGTGCATGATGGTGCATGAGGGTGCATGAGGGTGCATGACGGTGCATGACGGTGCATGATGGTGCATGATGGTGCATGATGGTGCATGATGGTGCATTATGGTGCATGACGGTGCATGACGGTGCATGACGGTGCATGACAGTGCATGATGGTGCATGATGGTGCATGATGGTGCATGATGGTGCATGATGGTGCATGATGGTGCATGATGGTGCATGAGGGTGCATGACAGTGCATGATGGTGCATGATGGTGCATGATGGTGCATGATGGTGCATGATGGTGCATGATGGTGCATGATGGTGCATGATGGTGCATGATGGTGCATGATGGTGCATGATGGTGCGTGATGGTGCGTGATGGTGCATGATGGCGCATCAAGTGCATGATGGTGCATGATGGTGCAGAATGGTGCAGAATGGTGCATGACGGTGCATGACGGTGCATGACGGTGCATGACGGTGCATGACGGTGCTGCATGATGGTGCATGATGGTGCATGATGGTGCATGATGGTGCATGATGGTGCATGATGGGTGCATGAGGGTGCATGAGGGTGCATGATGGTGCATGATGGTGATGATGGTGCATGATGGTGCATGATGGTGCATGATGGTGCATGATGGTGCATGATGGTGCATGATGGTGCATGATGGTGCATGATGGTGCGTGATGGTGCGTGATGGTGCGTGATGGTGCGTGATGGCGCATGATGGCGCATGATGGCGCATGATGGCGCATGATGGCGCATGATGGCGCATGATGGTGCATGATGGTGCATGATGGCGCATGGCGATGAGGCGCATGATGGCGCATGCTGGTGCATGAGGGTGCATGAGGGTGCATGAGGGTGCATGAGGGTGCATGAGGGTGCATGATGTGGTGCGTGATGGTGCGTGATGGTGCATGATGGTGCATGATGTTGCATGATGTTGCATGATGGTGCATGATGGTGCATGATGGTGCCTGATGGTGCCTGATGGTGCATGACGGTGCATGACGGTGCATGACGGTGCATGACGGTGCATGACGGTGCATGACGGTGCATGACGGTGCATGACGGTGCATGATGGTGCATGATGGTGCATGATGGTGCATGATGGTGCATGATGGTGCATGATGGTGCATGATGGTGCATGATGGTGCATGATGGTGCATGATGGTGCATGATGGTGCATGATGGTGCGTGACGGTGCGTGACGGTGCGTGATGGTGCATGATGGTGCATGATGGTGCATGATGGTGCCTGATGGTGCATGATGGTGCATGATGGTGCATGATGCAGCATGATGGTGCATGATGGTGGCATGAATGGTCTGATGGTGCCTGGTGCATGATGGTGCATGATGGTGCATGATGGTGCATGATGTGCATGATGGTGCATGAGGTGCATG